CCCACTCAACCCAACACACTGGCACTGGAAGCAGGATGCCTCCATCTTGGCTCACCCCCATCGCCATATTATGTGGGGGGAGCTCCCAGATTGGATCTCCAGCTGGCCAGGTACCAGGTTTCCAACTCCTCTCTCTCCTCTGTGGTATAACCCAACACACTAACTGCCCAACTCAAAACAACTCTCAGTTGGATTGGTGAACAATGTAACCAGGGCTCTGCCCATGGTAGCCACAGTATGAGACTTCCCTCAATTGGGAACTAGTAAGGGAGAGGGAGATGGGGCTAAGGTTTGGAGCCTCACAGAGACACCAGGATCTCAGAAATCTCCAGGCAAGATAGGGAGATAGTACCAGGGCTCAAGTCATACAAGTGGTCCTAAAAAGAGACCAGTGAGGTGCAGTCTCCCTGCAGGGACTGGCAGGTGCCACTGCATCCAGGAGCCCTGCACTAGGACCAGACTTCCCACCCTGGTTAACTCTAGATTCCTGGTTAACAGCAGATTTTTCAACACAGACCCTAAAAGACGAACAATATATATCAAGCTCTGAAAAAAAAAAAATGGATGACCACCAAGAATCTTGTTTGTATCCAGTAAAAGTAAGCTTTACATTTGATAAAGAAAAGTTAAAAGAATTTACAGCTAGAAAACATGTACTTCAAACATCATTAGAAAAATATTCAATGAAGAGGAAATGAGAAACAATGAAAATCAACAGAGGGAGGTAGTACCCTAAAGGAAAAACTAATCAAAGAAGAAAATCATGTCAACTTAAATAACAAAAATAAACACATACTGGGAATACAGACCATGTCTCCATAATAATCCTGAATGTTAATGGCTTAAACTCACCAATCAAAAGACATAGGCTAGCATATTGGATTTTTAAAAAAAGACTCAACAATACACTGCCTCCAGGAGACTCATCTGATAGGAATAAACATACACAGACTGAAGGTGAAAGGTTGGGAAAAAAATCATACCACTCACATGGACTGCAGAAGCAAGCAGGGGTTTCCATTCTCGTATCAAAAAAAAAAAAAAAGTAGATTTCAAACCAAAATAATCAAAAGGTTATAAAGAAGGATATTACATACTGCTTAAGGAACCAAACACCAACAAGACATAACAATCACAAATATATATGCCCCCCAAAATAGAGCAACTATGTTCATCAAACAAATTCTTCTCAGTTCAAGGTTCAAATTGATTACAACACAATAATCTTGGGTGACTTTAACACACCATTCTCACCACTAGATAGATCTTCCAAACAAAAGTTGAATAAAAAAAACTATAGATCTCAATAATACAATTAATAACTTTGACTTAACTGACATATATAGAATATTTCATCCTTCAACAAGAGAATACAATTTCTTCTCAGCAGCACATGGATCCTTCTCTAAAATAGAGCATATATTATACCACAGAGCAACTCTTAGCAACTACAAAAAAATAGAGATACTACCATATATTTTATCAGATCATAATGGAATGAAATTGGATCAGTTTCAGCAATGACAAAATAAAAATTACTCCAACACCTTCTGAGACAAACAATATACTACTGAATGAACATCAAGGAAGAAATTTGAAAATTCTTAGAGATAAATGAGAACACAGAAACAACATCGAAATCTCTGGGACACTATGAAAGCAGTACTATACTAAGAGGAAAGTTCATTGCATGGAGTTCATTCCTTAAAAGAAGAAAAGGTCAACAAATAAATGACTTAACATTACATCTCAAAGACCTAGAAAAAGAAGAAAAAAATCAACAGCAAAAGCAGTGGAAGGCAAGAAATAATTAAAATTAGAGATGAATTCAATGAAATCAAAACAAAAGAAACAATTGAAAAACTTGACAAAACAAGTTCTTTGAAAAACTAAATAAAATTCACAGACCCTTAGCTACACTAAAAAAGAAAACGAGTGAGAAAAATCAAATTACCAGAATATGTGATGAAAAAGGCAATATCATAACAGACACTACAGAAATACAGAGGATCATTAGAAATTATTTTGAACACTTATTCTCCAATAAAATAGAAGATATTGAAGGCATCGACAAATTTCTGAACTCATACGATTTGCCCTGATTGAATCAGGATGAGATACACAATTTAAACAGACCAATATCAAGTGATGAAACAGAAGACACCATCAGAAGCCTACTAACCAAGAAAAGCCCAGAACAGGATGGATACACAGCTGAGTTCCAAAAGACCTTTAAAGAAGAAGTAATACCAATATTCTTCAATTTATTCAGGAAACAAAAAAAGGAACAACACTTCCAAACTCATTCTATGAGGCCAATATCATCCTGATTCCAAAACCAGGCAAAGACACATCAAAGAAAGGAAATTTCAGACCAATATCTCTAATGAACATGGATGCAAAAATCCTCAATAAAATTCTGGCAAATCGAATACAAAAAAATATCCAAAAGATAGTGCACCACAATCAAGTGCACCACATTCCAGAGATGCAAGGGTGGTTCAACATATGGAAATCAATAAATATAATTCATCACATCAATAGACTCAAAGATAAGAATCATGTAATCATTTCAATAGATGCAGTTTGACAAAATACAGAACCCTTTCATGTTCAAAACTCTAGAAAAACTAGAGATAACAGGAACATAGCTCAACATCGTAAAGGCTATCTATGCTAAGTGCCAGGCCAATATCATTCTAAATGGAGAAAAATTGAAGGCATTCCCTCTAAATACTGGAACAAGACAGGGATGCCCTCTTTCACCTCTTCTATTTAACACAGTTCTTCAAACACTGGCCAGAGCAATTATAAAGACAAAAGAAATTACAGGGATACGTATAGGAAAAGAAGAATTTAGATTAGCACTATTTGCTGAAGATATGATTCTATAACTAGAAGACCCAAAAAGCTCCACCAGAAAAGTACTAGAACTAATAAATGAATTCAGCAAAGTAGCAGGACATAAAATCAACACCCATGAATCAAAGGAATTTCTGTACATCTGTCACAAATCCTTTGAGAAGGAAATGAGGAAAACTATCCCATTTACAATAGCCTCAAAAAAAAAAAAACCCTTGGAATCAACTTAATGAAAGAAGTGAAAGATCTATGCAATGAAAACTATATAACCTGAAATAAAGAAATAAAAGAAGACCTTAGAAAATGGAAATATCTACCTTGTTCTTGGATAGGCAGAATGCAGAATTAATATTATCAAAATGACCATACTACCAAAAGCACTATACAGATTTAAGCAATCCCGATCAAAATGCCAATGGCATTCCTCATAGAACGAGAAAAAGCAATCATGAAATTCATCTGGAAAAAAAAGAGGCCTAGAATAGCTAAAGCAATTCTTAGCAGGAAGAGTGAAGCAGGTGGCACCACTATACCAGACCTTAAACTATACTACAGAGCAATAGTAACAAAAACAGAATGGTATTGGCACCAATACAGACTTGTAGACCAATGGTACAGAATAGAGGATGCAGAGACTACCCTACACAATTACAATTATCTTATATTAGACAAAGGAACGAAAAATATGCATTGGAGAAAAGATAAATGGTGCTGGGAAAACTAGAAATCCATATGTAACAATGTGAAATTGAACCCCTATCTCTCACCATGCATAAAACATCAAAGTGGATAAAGGACCTAGGAATTAAACCAGAGACTCTGGGTCTATTAGAAGAAAAAGTAGGCCATACTCTTCATCGTGTGGAATTAGGCCCTAACTTCCTTAATAAGACTCCTATTGTGCAAGAATTAAAACCAAGAAAAAATAAATGGGATGGATTCAAATTGAAAAGCTTCTTCTCAGCTAAAGAAACAATCAGTAAGGTGAATAGAAAGCCTACATCTTGGGAGCAAACTTTTACCCCTCACACATCAGATAAAGCACTAATCTCTAGGGTATATAAAAAACTCAAAAAGCTAATAACCCAATCAATAAATGGGCCAAGGACCTGAACAGCCACTTCTCAGAAGAAGATATACAATCAATCAACAAATATATGAAAAAATGTTCATCATCTCTAGCAATCAGAGAAATGTAAATCAAAACTACTCTAAGATATCACCTCACTCAAATCAGCATGGCAGCTATTATGAAGACAAATAAGAGTAAGTGTTGGCAAGAATGTGGGAGAAATGGTACACTCATACATTGCTGGTGGGACTGTAAATTGGTGTAACCACTATGGAAAGCAGTATGAAGATTCCTTGGAAAATTGGGAATGGAACCACCATTTGACCCAGCTATCCCTCTCCTTGTCTATACCCAAAGGACTTAAAACCAGCATACCACAGGGACACAGCCACATCAATGTTTATAGGCATTATTAATAATAGCTAAACTGTGGAACCAAACTACATGCCCTTTAGTAGATGAATGGATTAAAAAATGTGGCATATATACACAATGGAATATTACTTGGCAATAAAAGAGAATAAAATCATAGCATTTGCAGGTAAATGGATGGCGTTGGAGAAGATAATGCTACGTGAAGTTATACAATGGCCCGCTCCCCCAAAAAAAATGCTGAAGGTTTTCTCTGATATAAGATGACCGACTCACAGTGGGGTAGGGAGGGAGAGCATGGGAGGAACAGACTAACTCTAGATAGTGCAGAAGGGTGGGAGGGAAAGGGAGGGGGCAGGTCTTAGCAAGGATGGTGGAATGTGATAGACATCATTATTCAAAGTACACTTATGAAGACATGAATTGATATGAGCACACTTTATATACAACCAAAGATGTGAAAAAATTGTGCTCTATATGTGGAACAAGAATTGTAATGCATTCCACCATCATTTATTTTTTTAAAACATCAATAAAAAAATAAAAGAAAGTCCCAGTCACTGAGCTGCCGCCGAGGACTCAGCAGCCTCCTCCTCGAGCCCCCTCACTTCCCTATGCTCCGTCCCCACCGCATGCCTTCTCCCGCAGCTGCCTTCCTCAGACCATTTCCACAGAAGAAAAGGAATCCTATCATATGTCTGGTATCCAGAACCTCCATTCTTTGGACCCCTTTGCTGATGCAAGTAAGGGTGATGACTTGCTTCCTGCTGACACTGAAGGTTATATCCATATAAGAATTCAACAGAGAAACGGCAGGAAGACCTTTACTACTACTGTCCAAGGGATCGCTGATGATTACAATAAAAAGGAACTAGTGAAGCCATTTAAGAAGAAATTTGCCTGTAATGATACTGAAATTGAGCATACAGAATATGGAGAAGTAATTCAGCTACAGGGTGGCCAGTGCAAGAACATATGCCAGTTCCTGGAAGAGACTGGACTGGCTAAGGACTATCAGTTGAAGGTTCATGGGTTTTAAGGGCTTGTGGCTCACTGAAGCTTAAGTGAGAATTTCCTTGCAATGAGTAGAATTTCCCTTCTGTCCCTTGTCACAAGTTTAAAAACCTCACAGTTTGTATAATGTAACCATTTAGAGTCCGGTTTTAACTTGGACTAGTGTAACTCCTTCATACAGTAAGCTGAAAAGAGCCATGCTGTCTAGTCTTGAAGTCCCTCATTTAAACAGAGGTCAAGCAGCAGGTGCCTGGCAGGGTCTACAAGGCAATAACGTGATGTTTCAGCAAAGCCCAGAGCCCCAAGATCAGATGGCTGTCTGACCAGAAGCTTCTCAACTCTCCCTCAGCTGAGGCCCCTGCTCTAAAAGTGTCATGACCTGATCAGGAGGAATGGGGTAAGGCAGCTGTACCACTAGAAGGGAGCCTTTAGTAATTTTGGAGGGTTTTTTTTGTTTCATTTTGTCTACCACGCGGCCTGCGCGATAGTTTCATTAATGAGGTTCTAGGCATAAAGTTAGTTAGAAGATATCGAAATAAAACACACAGACTCAGTTACCTTATTTCTATTGCTAGGTCCGAGACAGCTCCCCTCTCTGGTTTCCTCCTCTAACCGCCCAGCAGGGCAGCAAAGATTACTCAGGGCTAGCAGGAGAGAGCTTGAACACGCCTGGGAGTAGCCTTTTATTGGGGAACAAGAGATTCAGGGGAGAATTCCATCCAATGAATGTTGAGGGGGGCTGCACTCCAAGGTCAGGGTCAGTGATTGAGTCCCCGGGGTCAGTGGTCAGGCACACCCCCACACGGATGGGCTCTCTCATCAGGAAAGGGCCAGGAAAGCTTCGACACAGCCAAAGCGCCTCAGACCCTTAACGGGAGTCACCCAATCATGTGTCAGAAACGGCTTCCCACAATTTTGTTTTTTAAAAAGAATCCCTGGTGTCTAACCTGACCAGGTGGGCAGAACTCAAGAGGCCATCTTCCTTCCAGTGAGGTGATGTGACATCTGGCTTGCCACCAAGGTCTTCTTTTTGACTAGATGTATTCTAGCTAAGGGGTGTCCAAAACAACAGAATGTGAGGCCAGCTTAATATCAGTCAAACTTTTGACAAGGGAACAATTCCAAACTGATGTTATCAGTCCTGTAGCTAGCTATAGCCTGCAACTCACTAGCAACAGCTGCCCAGTGCCTATAGATATCCACCTTTCTCAGAACCACTTCTTAAAGAGGCTTTTTTCCCTCCCCAAAAAATATTTTTGACACATTTTTCAAGGTTCATATGACTGTAGATGTTTGGGTTTATCTGTGTCCTCTAATTCTATTCTGTTGGATACATGTCTGTTTTTATGCCAGCATCATGCTGTATTTGTTACTATGGTTCTATAATATATTTTGAATTCTGATATCTCAAAAACTGTTGTGCATCAAGAATTACTTTGGATATTCTGGGTCTTTAATGCTTCCATAAAAATTTTAGGATTGTTTTTTCTAGGTCTGTTTAAAATGTCTTTGATATTTTGAATCTGTAGGTCACTTTTGGTAGTATGCCATTTTAGCAATATTAATTCTGCTGATACATGAACATGGGACATCTTTCAAGCCTCTAGTGTCTTATATTTTTTCTTCAGTGTTCTGTAATTTCCAAAGTAGAGGTCTTTTTGCAACTTTAAGTTGAGTGAGGAAGACATGAGTTCAAAGCCAGCCTCAACAACAGCAAGGAACTTAGGAACAAAGTAAGCTTTCCAGTTATGAAAAAGAGCTGTGTGACATTATAATTTTTTCTGCATTCATGAGTATAGCACATGTCCATGAATTTTCAAAGAAGGTACTTAATGGATTTATGTTCTTTATATTTCTGGTCAGAATTTACATCAAAATATAAGTTCTTTGTGAAACCTCTCAAATATCTTCTTTCATCCCCACAAAGGTTCTCCTACCAATCCTTGCCAATGAACAATAAGTAAAGACGTAGCAAGGAACCAAACTAGCATGTTCACTCAATGGTAACATATAGCCCTCAACCTCAACTATCAAAGAGTATAATTGGAAAATCTGATTTGCATTATAATCTGGCAGTATAGAAGCAGCGCCATTTTCCCTTTACCTACTTGATAGGGCAAATGAGCCAGTGACTAGATAAGACTGAAGTAAAGTCCACAATCACATAACATAATACATCAAATGTACAAGTTACAATTAAAAATCGATTGTCAAATAAAGAACCAGGACAATCTCAAAATAAAAGGAAGAAAAGAAAACTGGCATGTGCAAATATCAAGACAGTAAAGACATTAATGTATCTGACAGAGATTTCAGCAAAAATGCTTCATTTAAAAAAATCATGTAAACACTAACCAAATAAAAACAAAACTAAGAAACCAGAAAGGCCCATCAAAGAAACAGAAAATGTCCAAGGAAACAGAAAATACAGAGAACTATGTGGAAATTTTATAACTGGAAACTACAATAGCAAATACAAAACTCAATGGAGATTGAAAACAACAACAGATTGGAGAAGCTATGAAAAAAAATCAGTGAACTAGAAGATAGCACAAAAAATTATCCAATCTAAAAAATAGAAGAAGTCTGAAAAAATAACATACTTAAAATATTAGAGAACTGTGAGTCAATAAAAAAAGATCAACATTCCCATTATTTCCAAGAACAACAATGGGCCAAAAAAGTATTTTAAGGAATAATAGCTTTTAATATCACAAATATGAAATAAACAAACATACAATTTCAAGGAGCCAAACAAACCTCAGGCAGAATTGAACTTAATGAGATCCATGTTGATATTTGCCACAGCTAAGAATAAGAAAACTAAAGGCAAAGAAAATATCTTGAAAACAGTACCAAAGGAACTGCACTAATCCTAAAGAAAAAAAACAAGTCAAATGCTAGAAAATTTCTTATCAGAAACTAGTAAGACCAGAAGGAAGCACTTTTTCAAGTATTCAAATAAAAGTACTGAGAACCCACATACTATATTGAGTAAAAATATGCTCTAGAAAGGGGAGAAAAATTGACTTTCTTAGATGAAGATTAACAAAGGAAATCTGTCACCAGAAAAAGTACACTAAAAGAATATACATGAAAAATATCCTTAAACATAAACAAAAAAACAGTAATAACAAGGAACCTTAGAATAGAAGATAGGAGTAAGGATTCTACGAAGCAAATACGTGGGTTTTAAAAAAAAAAGACAATATTCGTCTATATACTCATCTTGGTATTTTATGTTTGAATGCTGAAGCAAGAACTTTAAGTATTTGACATAGTTATAGAATTACATAGAAAAAATTTCAGACAATTGTATTATAGATGGGAGGAATAATGAGACAAAAAGGGAGTTAAGTTTCACATTTCACTTTAACTAAGAACATTTTATACACACACAATGTAATCCTTAACCATTAAGAAATCACTATAAAAGCAGATACACTCAAACATATTATTGATAAATACAGAATTCCTGAAAAGGTTGAAATAACCACAGGAAGGAAAGAAAAATAAATCAGAGAAACAAAATGGAGAACAATAGTAAACAAGAAAATAAAATAGCAGACTTAAGCCCCTATATATCAATAATTACATCAATACAAAAGATGCCCATACATCAATTAAAACTCAAAAATTAGCAGAATGAATTTAGAAGCATGACCCAAATAAATGCCCTCCATAAAAAAATTCATAAAAATAATCATGATGTTAACAAGTTCAAAAAAAAACAATGAAAAAGATATACCATGTACACATAACAAAGCAAGAGGGGCTATATTACTATTGGATAAAATAGATTTCAGAACAAAGGAAATTACCAGAGTGAATAAATATATATAATGATAAAAGGGTTAATCAACCAAGAAGACAAAGCAACCACAAAGGTGTATTCACCAAAAACAAAGCTACAGAGTACTTTAGGCAAAAACTGATAGAACTAAAAAATGAAAGAATCCAAACTACAATTACAGGTGTCAATACTCCTCTCCTAAAAATTAAAACAGCTATATATAAAATCAACAAAGATACAGGAGAAGTTAAAATATCATTAACTTCCAGGATATGATTAACATTTAAAGAGCACTCCAGCCAAGAATTAATGCCTTGACAACTTATACAAAGATATACCATCTGGGCCTTGAAACATGTGTCAATAATTTAAAATAATTGAAATACTGGAATTAATAACAGAAAGATAACAAAATCCTCAAAACCTGGAACTAAATAATATACTTCTCAATAATCCAGGTAACAAAAAGAACGTCTAAAACTACAAAACACACATGCATGCACACACACAAAGAAATCAATGAAAATGTAAATAATACATATCAAAATTTGTGTAATTAAATTATACTACAGGACTATAGTAACAGAAACAGCATGGTATTGGCATCAAAATAATAAACGATGCAGGGAAAACTGTAAATCCACAAGTTACAAAATGAAATTAGACCCCCTTCTTTCATCCTGCACAAAACACAACTCTAGGCATTAGACCAGATACCATGTGCCAACTAGAAGAAAAAGTTGAAATCTCCATCATGTCAGCTTTAGTAACTAAATTCTTCAAAAAGACTACTAGAGTGGAAGAAGTAAAATCAGGAATCAATACATGGGATGGTATGAAACTAAAAAACTTCTTCACAGCAAAGGAAATAATCAAGAACATGAACAGAGAGCATAGAGAATGGAGGTAAATCTTTGCCACGTGCACCTCAGAGCATTAATCTTCAGAATATATAAAGTACTTAAAGAACTTAACACCAAGAAAACAAATAACCCAAGCAATAAATGAGCAAAAGAACTGAATAGAAACATCACAGAAATATAGTCAACAAATATATTTTAACAAATAATGTTCAACATCATTAGCAATTCGAGATATGCCAAGTAAAATGATGCTGAGATTCCACCTCATTCCAGTCAGAATGGCAATCATTGAAAATACAAGTAACAATAAATGTTGACAAGATGTGGGAAAATAGTGTACTTATACATTGCTGGTGGTATTGCAAATTGGTGCAACCACTCTGGAAAACAGTGTACAGACTCCTCAGAAAACATGGAATGGAACCACCATTTGACCTAGTAATCCTACTCTTCGGCATATACCCAAAGGTCTTAAAATAA